CTATCTATATACGTCCACGTGTAAAAACTGATGACGTCATTGCTAAGCAACAAATTGGCGAATCAGAAAGAGTTAAGATTACTCACTTAATTAGAGAAGCCTCGATATAGTGTTCATTACAAGAGACAAATAATGCCTTTGGCTATAAAAAACGTCAAACATACAAACATTACGCTGTTCACAAATAACTTAGAGAATACAATTCACTTTGTTTACATGACATAAACATACAGTTGTGAAGCTAGCAGTATTTTGAGTGTTTTACGGCCTCTTTACAGAGCAAAGCTTTGCAGTACATGGAATCTCGCAAAATATTTGCGAAATCCGGAACTTCATAAGCTTCATCTCTTTTCCTCAATAATCAACCTGAACCGCTTCTAGATTTTTCTAAACAAAATACGTTACATTCTGGTTTATGATGTCCGCGAGGAAAAAATACTTCTACTTACATTCGTACAACTAAGTGAATGAAATTTAAATTTTAATGAAACTATTTTAAACTAGTCAGTACCTGAACGTGTTAACATGGTTGCCACAGGGATCACTTTTCAAAATTCCCTGACTTTTCCCGATAAAAATAAGATTTCCCTGACCAAATACTGAAATACAAAATGTCAGATCTAGTAGCGGCCGGCTTCTGGCCTCATCTCACAGCCTTCCTTTCTGCACATTAAGACTACTAAGTTTTCAACAGATTTTCCTTTTTCATTAAGGGAAAACATCATTGAGATCACAGTGACCCCAAATGTTTTTTTCCATCCTTCAATAGTATTAAATCAGCCGTGTTAAATTGTTTCAATTTTCCCTGACTCAATTTGATCATTTCAGCAAACTTTCGGCTTAAACCTGCTCAATACAAGGTGAAATTATTTTAAAAAACAGTATAAAGACTTTTTTTTCCATCGTATATCTTTTAAACTGAAAAGGTTATAGTTTCTTCACAATCATGTCACTGAAGGGCTTAGTTTTCAATTCTAACACCATTATTCCGTCACTAACTGTAACACATAAAAAACGAACCTACAGTGGTGCAATAGCGAAGTTTAGCAAATCACGGGTAAGTGTTTCAGACTGCAACGGCAACATATTAATCTGTTTTAGAACTAACATAACTAAGTTGTTTTATAAATGTAATAACTTATGTATAAAACTGAAAGCGAAACAATGACCTAAAATAAAATTACTTAACCGACGCCAACATCCTTAAATACTTGCGAGCCATTACCTCGTTCTACATAGCAATACATTAATTTTCCGCAGCCACTTCCCTCTCTAGCGATACTAACCATAGCATAATCTTACTAAACGACATTACTGCACGGTAAACTCTGAATGTTGCATTTTTTGTACTCCAACAGTGGTGTTATATATAGCAAAGAGCTTTCGTGACCGTTAATATGAAGTCAAAAACAACGTTGCCTGAGACCTAACTTGTTAAATGAGAAAATAAGTTGACTGAATGAGAAGAAACTTTCTACGCACTAACCAGTCATGGCACACAAGTTTTAAAGCAATCTTGAGATAATGCCACACCAAAACATCAAAACATATGTATATTAAGACAAAAAATTGATAAAAAATAAGCAAAATAAAAAGAAAACAACATCGTTTCACACCAACACGTTCAAATATTACACTTCAGAGTGTTCTCTCACAAAACGTTCGATGCGGTTTCGAAGCTCATCGTTCGGCCGAACTTCCAAATCCGTCAAGGTCTCGTTTGTCATTGGACTGCTTCGTTTCTTACGGAACCAGCGACGAATAGCCCTGCGTTCATAATTATAGCCATCGGCAGCTTTGACAGGATCCTTCATGATCTTGTTCGAGATTGGGCAAAGGAATTCGAATGGAATCGGTTCGTCAAACTGATCTTCCACTGAGGCGACCGGCGACACGACACGAATCTGAGAACTGGCTGATGGAGGCCTGGAGGGAGCTGAGGGCTCGGGTGGCGTGTTAACGGTCAGAGGGTCGGACAGTGGAGGTTTATCGGGGAGAGGGCCTGGGAATAATAATAAAAAACAAACACACAAGACAATGAGGACAATAAAAACACACCCAATTAGCGGGAATACTGACGCCTAAAACTGTCTAACTCAACTTGAAAGAAGTTCACTACCAGCTGTCAAATTCAATTTACCAGCTTCCTCCACTTGGGGAAGTTCTTTTTTCTGTTGCTCGGCTGCCCCGTGGATACCCCGGATGGGAGGAAGGGCAGCTCTCGAAAGCGGTGCTGAAAAAGGAATAGATTAAGAAAATTATTTGATAATATACAGAGATGTCAATGGTAAGAGTGCTTTCTGCATAGAAATCACGGCTTAGTTTTGGCCTATATAAGCAAAGAAGAGTTACAACCCAAACAGTTGGAGACGAGCAAGGCGACCTCGATCCCATGACGTTCGTGTCCAGACTAGGCTGTCGTCTGTTGGGGAACATGTACTAGTTAATGGCGAACGCCCGTCTCCGAAAACTGACTGGGCTAGCGGTTTCCGTGACTGAAGTCGCATGACAGTTTCGCTATGCTGGCGTGACTATTGACTAATAAACGCTGGTTTTTAATTGGATGATTACAATCGGAAACTCCCCCACTCCTCAAACGAAGTTTGCCGGAAAACGAACTTGTTCCAGCACCGAGTAGCATCACAAATAATAAGACAGAAACATTCGGCTGAAAAATTAACATTTAAACGCACAACACTTGTGTTAAAATTTCACTTTCACAACTAAAGGCAACTGCCAAAGTCAAATCGAGATAAATTGACATATCTGTACAATATATTCGTGGATTAAAGAGACTAATATGTAGGTCATCAAATGCATCAGAGTGAGTGTATAAACAACAACATCAACAACAACAAACAGAAACAAAAGAAAACAAACAAAATAAAAAACGAAAAATAAACAAAATAAAAAAACGAAAGAAGTAAGTGTATCTTTTTAATATCAACATTTTATTTAAGGTTTTCACATATCTGTAATGTTTATAACTAAATCACCTGCTGGAATACTGCCGTTTGCTGCTGAAGTTCTGCAAAAGAAAGGAACGAAAACTCCGTCAGAAACAAAATATCCTCAGCCAAAAGTAATATGCCCTCTTTGTCATCGATAAAGCAATTTTTTATCGTTAGTCACTCAACTGTTGAGAAATCTGCCTGTTGGTCAAGTAGTTATTCGTGTTTTCTACAGTTTGAAGAGGTCCAGGACCAGTTTGCATGTAACAGAATAACCCAAACAGCCTGACATGCTAGTTCCCTCCGCTGAATTTTCTACAGCTGTTGCCGGCGTTGAGCTTGGTTTATCAATGGTCTCAGCTCAGACTCACTTTCAGCAGGAAGTTAAAACCACAACGACAACGGCAACCGGGGCGTCGCTAAACAAAAGGTTTAATGAGGAGAATAATGGCTGTGCACGTGCGTTATAATTCTTGGTTCATTTCCTTGCCGTCCTCGGAAAACAACAACGTTAAATGACCAAATTCTGCGTTGTCTGGAGAACGTGTGCCTCGACAGCGTAATGTTTTAAAATTTTCATTTCGAATTTAACGCTGTGCTTGTTATTCAGTTTCGAGATAATTTTGCCATAATTACCCGTCATCTTTGGCAGCTTCCCGCAGACTGGTCACTGACCCAATTCCCGTTGTAGTAGTCCGGTTCGCTCCTGAACGCGGCGTGGATTCATACGCCGGAGGCGCCGCGTACAGTGAAGCGTACCCAGGATTATCCATCGCCATGGGGGCCATTGCTACCCCTGGACCAGCGGCGAATGGTACAAAATAAACACCCCCGGGAGCTGTTTGACTGTATGGCGGAGGAGCAGCTGTAGAAACAGAAAGACGTAACTGGTAAAACTACCTCTCTCGCGGCAAATATGCTTTGCCGCAATGATTCCATTTAGAGCCCGGGGCGCTTATTTACTTTTGGTACCTCACGGGAGGGCGCTTACTCGAGACAGGACGCTTATTTCTTTTTGTGAGAAGCAACCGAATGTTCAAAATCATTCGTTTGAAGGAATTATGCATTCACATAAAGAAGGCGCTTATTGGAAAGAGGGCGCTGAATCGAATCATTACGGTATGTACAAGAGATTATCAAGGTACTTACCTTGATAATCTCTTGGGTATGAACGAATACAACGAACAAATGTTGCGATACAAACAGCAGAATAGACTGTATTTATTTAAAGGCAATTATGAAATTCTGGGGAGCAGGGATGGCGCAATGGTGAGAGTGCTCGCCTCCCACCAAAGTGACCCGGGTTCAATTCTCAGACCCAGCGTCATACATAAGTGGATGGAGTTTCCTGTAAGTTCTCGCATTGCTCCGAGGGTTTGCACCGAGGGTTTGCACCGAGGTTTTACTCCGGGTTCTCCTGTTTTCCTCCCTCCACAAAAACCAACATCTCGAAATTCCAATTCGACCAGGATAGAGGACCCGTGTGAAAACCAGCTAAGGCTGATGTGGCTTCTTCTCTAAATAATTTAATTTATTTTATTTTTACTTATGTTAATTTATACCTGTGAAGTAAGCTACCGGCTCTTCGCTTGGTACTTGTTGTGTAGGTACCTGGCTACGATTGGCTGGTTGAGCTGTGCGTTCCACGGGTGTCATGTTCATTGCATCTAGGTTGTCGTAGGCTGCGTTAACGAATCCGTGACGGACTGGTAATGAGAGGAAGACAACGCCGAAAATGAATCAGCTAATTCAAAGCGAAATAACAGTAACACGTAGGGTGGAATACGACACATTTTTCAAAAGTTTACAATTAGCAGTCCAAAAGCCAAGAAAAAGTGCACAGTTATATTTAAATACTCTCCCATGAACGTGTATTAGAGCGTAACTGGCAAAATAGCTACTTCAACTAGTTTTATCCAAACCAAAGGAAAGTAAATCGTTAGTTTTACCAGCCAAAGACAGCTATTGCAGACTCTATTAGGCCTTGTTCAGGCTTTTTTTACTTCGATAGCACAAGAAAACCACCCTTACGATTATCTCAAGGCTGCTTACACTGGCCCGCGCGCGAAGAAATCAAACGAAAAACTGTTAGAGTACTCACATTATACAGTATACGCTGAGTTCTTACCTCCCTGGTTATGAGCCTTCTTTTTCTTTTTAAGAAACAGATAAACAAGAACCACCAGCACCACCAACACCAACACCAGTGCTACTACTATTCCGGCTACCACTCCTCCGCTCAAACCACTCTGCTTGTCGGGATTTCCTGCAACGACAAAAAGGATGAGAAAGGCCGTATTTTACTAGAGAGGCGAAGAGTGCGCGTCAAACGTATATTGAGTCAAATACTAGAAGCATAAAACTCGTGTGTTGACAAACAAATCTATGTGAAAAAGACTGTTGGTCGCTTGATTACAAATCTTAGTTGTCAGATAAGTTCGCCTACTTTGTGCGGTAGCACCGGGCAATTTATTAATCACCCACGAAAACAGCACACCTTTCTCGCATTTTTCTACACCCCTGGAAGGCCTCCGTCTTCTTCGCAGTAGTAGGGAGCTTTAGCAAACCACGACGGCGACGCCCACGACAACGTACCAAACAAAAGATTCACTGGGCAGAAAAATAGTTCTGCAAGTGCGTTTTAAATCTTGGTACATTTCTTAACCACCACCTACAAAACAACAACGTGAAATGACCAAGCTCGGCGTATTATGGAGAACCTGACGCACAATGGCTAATTTTTCATAACTCCTTTAGGAATTGAACGCTGTCATAACATATTCAACCGAGGTAAGTTTTTAGACCGATAGGTGCACTGAACAGGTATACAAAGTTGCGACATACGCAAGTAAAAATAAAACATTTTTAAAAAGGTTTCCGGCGTCCTCGGCGTCACTGCTAAAGCCCCCTTAAAGTTATTGGATCAACATACAACACTTCCCAGACGAATCGAGCGACAATTCATTCAGATCTGTAAATGTTTGTACCTTAAAAGAGGTCTAAACAATAAAAATGACAGATGAATAAGAGTTTTACCTTTACGAGGCGCCTGGGTATTTTCTTCAGCTGACAAAAAGAAGGCAAAATGAGTGTAACTTAAGTGGTAATCCTTTTTTTGTTTGTAAATGCTGGAACCTGAACCAAAGAGGCGAACATACAGGACATACAGTAATGTTTGAACGGAAATCAGATGTCGCAAAATTTCTTTGAAAATAAAACTCAATCCTTGTGGCAATGTTTACTTTCGATATATCAACACTGAGCTTCGCATGTGTCTTCTTCGCCTCGCTATCTGCCTAAATGCCAGTATTTTGAACGCCGCCAATTGTCTAAACCAATCTTTTGGCTTGTCACGTCTCTCCTCGGAAGCATTGCGTGACCACCCAAAGCAGTGCCGGAAGTTCGATGGGTGATCCCCACAAACATCTGCTGAGAGCTAATTATTGGAATTGTGGCAAACACATTTCGTGACACTCACCAGGTGTGGTTGGTCCTTCGGTGGAAACTAGAAATGAGATAAACAAATGAGTTCTAAGATGACTGATCTATGAAATACAGCTAAGTATCACCTTAACACTTTAAATCTATATACATACAGCTTACTGGATCCTCGCTTAGAAGGTCAGTTTCTTTTCTAACACTTAAAACGAATACAAAAAGATTAAAATCGCGAAACAGGCGCGATTGCAAGTCGCTGTTAAAGAAAAGAGACCCAAGCTCCAGATTCTTCATAATAATAACGCTTTTTAATAACATTCTCAGTTTGCTTGTTAAAACTACGAGAACACCAATCATTTGATTTAGTGAGTTTTCGAAGTTTCTTTTTTGGTAGAAAGGCAAAACATCTGACAACTTAAAAACTGATACTTCGAAAGTCTCTCGCAAAGAGGGGTAACAAATATATTCCTTATCTTTTACTCCTCAGTAATCAGAATGAAATAATTCTTCCCAAAGGGCTGCGCGCAACATTACAATCTTTTCAAACTCCTATGAGACCTCTAAATTAGACGCTTTAAACATTTCACATCCATACACAACGACATAAGGCGCTAGGCAGTAAAACCAGTTCTCAAAATGTTCTGCCCGACTGCGAGCGGGTTCATTTTGCATCACGTGGTTCGTTTGCCCGCAGCACGTGGCCAATGTTTTCATACCACTAAAACAGCCGTTGCTACATTAGGAAGAATTCAATTTCCAAGAAAAACGAGGGGAGAGGTTAAAATTAGGGTTATATGGGACAATGCATTATTATTACAGCTAATACTTTAGTGGCTGGCGTTATAAGTAGTAACAACTGTAGTTAGTAGCAATTATCGCTAAAAGTAAATTCCTACAGACAACTGTAGGAAACAAAGCAAGGAACCTTAAAACGGCAACGTGACTATTTCCGTAAAATTTTAAGAAAGGAATCTGGAATTTGTTATTAAAATGTGAGCTTAGTCAACAAATTGTAAAGGGAAATCTTAAGTTTAGGTATTAACTGGTTTATGCACGCAGTATTGAGCTGATTTAACTTAGGTTTAGTTTTAAGTTTTGTTCATTTTACGCTAATTTTTATGAGTACAACTAAGTGCAACAACAACAATAACAATCATCACAACAAAGACAGAGGTTTTCTCGAACATCATCATCATCATCATTATCGTCATCTGCAGAGCCTGACTCTACAGTGCTACGTCATGTTAAGTTTGCGTTTAGGGGAGTTGTAGTTACTTACAGTTTATAATAATTACAGTTTTTAACGCGTGTAATACTTGAAAACACAGTTAGCTAGTAAAAAGCAAGTAACTCAGCCGCGTTACCTTTGAAGGATGTTAGTTCATATTTATTACCTGTGACGGAATGTTCAGTTACTTGCGTCGCTGTTACCGCAGATGTCAAAGTGACTGAAGATGACGTCATAAAGGTCGCTGACAATGACGTAATTGTTGTGGTATTATTGTCTGTCTCGTGAATTGGCGCTGTTTGCACCAAATTTCGTCGGATGCGAAACGAAAAATAGAGAAATAATGGTTGTTTATATTTTAAACTGATGCTCTGTTTTCAATGCCATTGTTAATCAAGGTTAAGTTGTAAGGGTGACATATTCTTTCAGCTTGCCGCGGGACAATGTCTTAAAGTTTTTTCAATCCTTCTTCACTCAAGATGTTACAAAGGTGGTAATACTAGCAACAAGGGTTTTCAACTTGCAAAGCGGCACGGTCGAGCGACAAGATTCAAGAAAATGTCAATCGAGCAACTTGTCCTTTTCGGAAATCTTTTCTTTAATTACGACATTAAAATTACAAGAACACAGAAATTCAAAGTTTCCTTACTTTTACACGTTTTCTTAAAGTGCAAAGAAGCGATTTGTTTTCACCATAATTAAGTAAAATAATTAGCAATCCTTTTCGTACGTTCTACGACAGGCAAATTAAATTTTGTTTCCACCTTGAACTTTTGCCAGCACGTGCGAAGTCTGGGACCGAATGTATTTTTGGCAACCGTCTACCACTGACCTCACTGCATCACGAAAATATTAGCTGGTCTTTAGACCTCCCAATTGCGCATGCGAAGCGCGTCCCAACGAACAAAAAAACAAAAACCAAAAAGAGAATTTTTTATGGTGGTTTACCTTCAGTGGCTGTTTAACTCTTCACAGACGAATTTGTTTCTTATTTCATTCTATGTCAAATGCTAATTTTATCAACGCTCAGTAAGATGGCTCAGTTTAGCCTTGCTTTGTTTAGCCTTCCTTCTTTGCGGGGAATGACTAAAACATACTCATTTCAAACAACCTTCACCACAATGTTGGTAACTCTCTCATACACTCGCGCGCTTAACACGTCTCGCGTGCACACGCGAGTAGTGACGAGGTAACTCATCAGTTCCTTCTTTCAATCGATTAGTCGATCACTTCTCACCTCTATGTTAATGCTTCATGTAAGCTGAATATTAAGCTGATTGTTAAAGTATACCTCGGACAGGAGGGCTCGATGCCTGGATTGTTGATATTAACACAGTCGATGTACTTGTTGATGCCAGGATTAAATGGGCTAAGCGTAAATATATTAATCAATTGTCAATTTGTCAATCAGCCAAAGTATTAATAGGTTAGAACAGCACAGCTTTATTAAAATCCGTACGGCAACCAGCTTCTCCCAACAAGTTCCATTCCTGATGTTTTTTTTTTTTTTGCAATTTCATCATCTAATATTTCATTCTGACAATTATGGACACGATCAGATAACGCTAACCAGTGGATAACGCTATCCAGTGGACAGAGTGGTTTATGAAGAACAAAAAACTTCATAGGGTAAATTAACAACGACGGTTGTCGACAGATGAGAACTTTTTCAATACACTTATCCCTTCCATCGAAATTTCTCCATCTCTGTCGCCTACGCATGCACTAAGTAAATCTATTGGTCGCATGCAAGTCATGCAGTAAAAGCGATGTCTTTACCTGTAGACGTCATCTGCGGACTCGAAACAGATACTTGTACAGAGGTCGTCAAACGAGGCGTGTGTGCGGTGGAACTTTCTTCAGTTACATTGACTGGACATGAATAAATGGGTTAAAATTGGCTCAGGTGAACCTACATTGCTAGCTTTCTCATACAGAAACGACCATTTCTCGACTACTGAAACAACGATTAAGAAATTGAAAGAAGCTGAAATCTACAGACAGTTTAAGAGAGTGCCAGTGACAGTTACGAAAACTGTTACTGAAAGGAAGTCAACAAAGATTGCTAATTAGGCTTCTTCACATTACTTATAGGCGGCAAAGTTTAAGTTAACTGCAGTCTGCCAGTGAACAGCAGCGAACTAAAACAAAATAGTGCTTCACACAAAGTTTTGGCCATTAAACTATTATTAAACTACAGTGCACAAGAGCTCACAAGTAAAGCTACCAACTGCAACAAGTCCAGAACACAGTTTTAGTTTGAATACACGAATTACTTAGCCAACGCAAAACCCTTTTATGGTGAATTAATATGGAACTGTAGCAGCTAGGAACAGTTCAACACAAAATTTTATTTTTGACGTCCAGGAGCCGGAGCAATGGTACTACTTGACAATATAATTATAATTTATATATACAAAACCAACAGATATGGCTATATTACTACCACGATTAAATACCTGACAACAAGAGCTTAGAATTAACACCTTTCCGATACATTACGTGAATTAATGTTATTTGTGCACGTGTGTGAATTGTCAGTAACGTTGTACAGTGTCTAATACCCCGTTCATACCTACATGTTAAACCTGTTAAAGGGTGGTTTAACTGCAAAAGGTTAAACATTAGTTGCACATATCGTGCACACCCCACAACTTAACAAGGAAAAACCCTTTTTTTAAAAAAACTATGTTAGCAAGGTGGTTTGAAATTTGTCTTCTCGAAATGACTGCAAAACGTAATCGACAATTTGGAAAAACCTAAACCCGATTTAGTTGAACAAGTTTGGTTGGTGTAAATGAGGCATTATAAGAAACGCAAACACAACATAACCTTCGTTGATAAAAGATGGAAAGTTCCGCTGAATCTGACATGCCTAAAGCATGACCTATTGCGCACGAAATTAGCACAAATGAAAGAATTCCAAAAATACCTCTTTCGTAACGGAGATAAAATCCCTTTCCAGTGTCATGTGCGTCTGTTTCGAAACGAACACGTACAAGAGAACCGGCCGACAAAAAAGTCCACGGCGGCAGGTAATCATGGGAACTTCTGAAAGATCTCCCGTCATCCACATGCAAACTGTCGCCCAGGCTCCCAACATGCGTTGCATAGGCGATGTCGGCCTTATCTACTGTCACATGGATCCGGTAGCCGGGTGCCACCTTGATAAACCATCGACAGTCCTGGTTGTTGAGGTAGTTTGCTGGGTAGTTGGTGCTTTGAACAAAACCAGTGTTGTGATACCAGTCAAAGTAGCCATATGTTGTGTTCACAGCATCATTGCCGTTGCATCCTTTGATAACAGAAGGACGTGGAAAATCACTTTTTTAAGACAATACCACAGCGAACTGCGCATGAAGACAAATTTGACGCGGGATTTCACTGCTCATTAGCAATTAGCCCGTAGCCCTTGCGGGCTACGGGTCAATAGCCCATTAGGCGAAGCCGAATGGGCTATTGACCTGTGGCTCTTGAGGGCGAAGGGTCTAATTGTTTTAGTATCACCCAACTAGTCGGATAGAAAAGACAATAGTAAAGTTAGCAAATGCAAGTTCAAGAAATGTTTATTTGGGAATAAAACGAAAGAAAGCGTCACGCTCAATTGCCCCAATTTCGCTACTCCAGGACTATTACTGATAGTCCTCTAGTAGCGTAGCCAATTAAAATGCAGGATTTGCATTAGCCCACTATTTGGGTGATACTAATTGCGATTAACTCTCAGATAGCACGCGCACTGGGATTGGTCAGTTGTATGTAAATACAGTGCTCGTAAAATTCATTGCGACACAAATATGGAAAAATTATAATTCAGTATATGACAAATTGATAACAGCATGGTGCATTTCAGTGCAAAAGAAAGAAAATACGATGGTATGATTTTTTTTTGTTTCTACAAAGAATTCTTGACATACCTCCTTCTACCATCTGATAAAGAGGCAGTTCAGATGGCGCAATAGTTGTTGTTACTGGCGAGGTACTTGGAGGAGCAACAGTCGGGGCACCTGTGGAGAAAAAAATGAAACTTAGACTGATGTAGCAGCAATGTACATGAACTTTTAACTCACTCCTTTATTATGTACGTCTTTTGACACTTACATTGTGTACCTTAATTGACACTTAAAATATGTACCGCTATTGGCCCTTGATTTCTTTCTTTTTCTCTTTGTACATCACTGAAACAATTAATTGTGTCTGGACTCCTCATGGTGAGGTCCTGGTTAGAGCCCTGCACAGGGTCATTGTGTGGTGTTCTTAGGCAAGACACTTTACTCTCACAGTTCTGGGAAACTTACGGAAACCGGGATAAGCTTCGGCGATATAGACCACTTGGCTGGATGCAGACTTTACCCATTCGCGTTTCAGTTAGGTGCATATATTAACTACTTATTAACCGAGAGTGAGGTCTTAACGGGAAAATAGGGAAAGCCATAAATTTTTTATTTG